CGGATGATTACAGCCCTATTAAATGTATGCATCGGCACTACAGAGCGTTCGAGCGCCCTTTTTTTTTCTTTCGGCGATGCCGCAATTTCGTTGCGTTCAAAGTGTACTTGTGCAACTTTCATACGTATACTAATAATTGATACTTTTGCTTGAAAGTGGAGCACACCTCGTGGGTTTTTTGCGGATGAAAAATTACTTGCGGATAATTTTGGAAATGCAAAATGTCGTATAGTAGTTGAGCGTGGCAGCACTTCGTGAAATGTATGACTCGGGGAACAAGTTTACATCGCGAGTCGTAGGTACCCGTGTACTTTGTCACAATTAAATCTAGTTATATTCATTTTGGGGGTAAGCGCGAGAATGCGGAATTTTAGAAGTTTCAGCAAGATTTATTCATATCTGAAATTAAGTTTGTCTTGATATCCGTGTAACGAAGGCAAATGGAGTTTGGTTGTTTCGAAAGATTTTTTTCAATTTTTTTTTTCGAAATTTCTGAGGGGTAAGGAAATTAAAAAGGAAGGTAAAAGTGCCGACGCAACTCAGCTGTTGATAAAAAATCCGGGTGCGCTTGGAAATTCTCGCTCTTGTTTCTCCGTAGACCTTAATCCTCGAAAGGAGCTCGGCCTGCGTGCGTTTATGGGGTAGAAAAGCGATACGGCCCCGCATACTTATCAGCTTTCAAAATCAGAGGCACGATGACGGGAATTTTATCAACGCTGGCGACCAAACATTTATCACTTAACTTTTGGGGGCTCTTTTTGCCCCTTTTTTTGTTGTTTAAGTGATACAGACAAAAAACGATGTTGAAGGAAGCCGAATATGAAGAAAAAGATACAAAAAAAAGTGAACGACTAGAAAATGAAACGGAGGTGATTGCTCGTGCGCATATATTGGATTTTTTTGCACGAGCATGTCAGCTGGAGAAGGATCATTATAGGCTGTAGTCAAGAGGGTTCGGGAGTGGTAGTTTTTTTCTGACACTTGAAGGAGTATAAATATGTTCTTATACATGCAGGACAAGCAAAAAATTGCGGAAGTAGTAAAAGGCCGTGTATGGTCAGACTGCCCGGTTTCAAGCTGGTCTGACCATACACGACCACTTACTACTCATTCAATGGCGCGGAAAGGCGATATCTTACTTGGATTGTTGTCCCCACTTTTTCTGCTTCTTTGCCACTGGCAATCTATATTGGTAATTTGAAATTAAGAGTGCCTTTCTTTTTTGCTGGAGGTACTGTTAGATTAGTTGGCAACTTCTTTGTGTTCACGCGCGACTTGAATTAATTAGTTCCAATTGGATCGAATTAGGGAGTGATACTTTGTTTTCGCTCAAATGAGGCAGATCATTTGGTTAGTTGGCATTTTCATCGTTGCAGACGAATTAATCTTTGAATTCAATTTGATGATAAGTACCTACAGATTGTTGATTTAGTCGGATATTTTAATTTTTGATTGTTAATTTAGCCTTTTAAATTGATACGAATTTACATTTTTATCATTTATCCTTAAAAAAAAAAAAAAAAAAAAAAAAAAAAAAAAAAAAAACATTTCATATCGACTCACTACTTAAAAGATGATGATAAAAATTTAAAGCATAACGTATACTACTTTATTAGGAATTCGATGAGGAATTTCTCAGATTTTTTTTCCTCTTGCATTCCTGCATGCATCAATTTTAAAGATTCCGTACACGAAAGAATTAGCTTCGCTTCCGATATGAAAAGTTTCTATTTGACCCGGCAGAGTCAAAAGATTTAGGGCAAGTGTGATTGAAATTCTCGTGAGACCCTACAAAGGACTAAATTTCCTATTAATCGTGAAAAGCAATGCCTTTGATCTATTATCAAACTATTGGAAACAAGACATCTTTTTTCTTGTGCGAAAAAAAAAGAAAAAAAAATACGGTATGCATCTACTTGAAAATTGTTTTTAATTCCCGTTGCGCTTGATGTTGACGGAAATATTCCATCACGACCTCCCCAAAGACGATCAAACCAAAGGAGACACTTTTTATTCGGCATCAACGCACTTGTACAAATGTTTGCACGCGAAAGTGAATCGTTAAAATTTTTTGCTAAACCAAGTCTCTCCGAGGAAACAACCTTTTTGAGACCCATTTACTACTTATGCAAAGAGCTTTGTGAATAACATCAACCAAGTTGTATAAATACGCGTCCTATAAATTTCTAATTATTTTCAGATAATCCACGTGAAAATCAACAATAAACAATAATAAATGGTCGGTGTCCAAGTTCGCATGCAACGTATCCCAATGCACCTCTGCCGCACACAAATCCCCAAGGCCCACATCTGTTTGGCTCCAACAGTACCAGACACATTCAATTAATCTGCATAACAAATAAGCACGGCTTTGCGCTCGGCTCAACTCTTCCAAACCCTGTAAGCTCCATGCGGGCCGGAGCCCCAACCATACCTGCCAGTCTCGAAATTCACCCTCGTGGACTTACTCCCATCTGGATTTTCCCGCAGTTCCAGTTAAAAGCGTCTAACAAGGTCTCTCCGCCCAAGGAAGCGACGAAGATCGGCTCCACGTGTGCCCATACATATGCGTGGCGACGGATAACGAGAAGTCAAGTTGATAGCACGGCGGCGTTTCGAAAGCGCCAAGGATGCATAATTATTACATATATATATATATACATACATACACATGTCTCGGACAGCGAGGCATGCGCACACGTGGCATATATATCGATCCCACCATGGCGAAGATTCCCCCTCGCCCCGACGCCCCCCCCCTGGTACACTGTGTTTACGCAGCTCGTCGGCTCTTATCCCGCGCTGGTTGCGCGTTACTCGTGCTCCACTGGCCGCGGGGAGCGACGTCAAAGGAGCCTCTTGTCACGGAGGGGGACAGGAAGTAACGGTGAAAAGCCCGTCAGAGTCGAGTTGCGGGATGAGGATAGGCAAGGGGGGGGGGGGGGGGCAACAGGCGCGGGAAAATTTGCTAATGGAGTTGGGTGGGTGCGCGAGGGGCGACAACGGGAGAGGGATCGTCGACTCGGGAAATTCGGTGTTTAACGCAGACACACGTGTATAGGTATTCCATTCGGTCTCGACAATTTTCGTGTATCGGAGGTCCTTTTGTCGATAAAGTGCAAAAACTAGACGCTCCCTAAATACGTTAGTAACAGCAACGCCAGCAAAATCAGCTCTAATTCTCGTTCGAGGGCTGGAGGGGTCTTGGCCGATGGTACGAGTGAGCTGTAATTATTTCGTTGAAGCAGGAGGTCTCGTGTACATTTTTATGCTCAATCGGAACCAATGCACGTGAATCAAAAGTGAAGGAGACGACGGGACGGGGAATCAAAGTCAACTCGAGGTTTGTTTGTTTCCAACAGTTTCATCCAGCAAACTCCAATCAAATAGTCACCGACGACGACGGGCGGCTTGAAATTTCGCCCCAAGAGCCACGTTCGCCTATCCGTATTGGCTCTTGAGGGTAACTTTTACAATCACACAAACCTCCAGCCACACGTGTACGTGCACGATACGGCCGAACTTGCAGTCCACAAGACGGATGCTTCCACACTCGAGGCGCACATATAGGTGTTACGTACACGTACGAGAGTAATATACAGCGACGGGGAATTAAAAATTCTCTGTGCCGTATCTACAAGTATGTGTGTATGTACGGCGACAAGAGCGTCTGGCGAGGAGGGGGGGGGGTGGCGGAAACAGAAGAAAGGAAGGTGTGCGGGCGAGAGGAAAGATAAAAAAGATTCGCCAGCCACCCCCTCCGTGACAAGACGTTCGCGCAAACATTGCCGCGATGTCCCGCAGCGAAGCCGTGTCTCCGTTTTTCGGTCCCTCTCTCTGTAATAACGCGGATTTTCTCGCGCTCCTTTCCAAACGGTCCTCGAGTTGAAAATTACAGAGGGATGGTAAGTGACTCGAAATCGTGTATACTTGGCTGACTTGTCGTTATTTCTACAAAGGGAAATAAAAACAAGAAATACCACAAGGGTGTATCTTGCTTTCTGTGCAGTAGTATGAGTGGATATTAAGTGCACCCCCCCCCCCAAAAAAAAAAAAAAAAAAAAACAAAAGGGGGGGGCCGAAAAAAAAAAAAAAAAAAAAAAGGAGAGAAGAATCGAGCTTTTAGGAGCCAGATGGAGCCGAGGATGGAGGAGGAGGAGTATAGGTCCGAGTTAGTGGAAGCGAAGCGAATAAAAAGCTCTTCGCTCGGGGAGTGCGTTATTTGCTTGAAATCCGAGTTCTTTCTCTTTGGCCTCTCATTCGGATCCCTAGTTTTACCGATCGTTCCCTCTTAATGCGCAGAGTGGGGCAAGAGGATAAAAAACAAACAGACTCGAGAGAGAGAGAGAGAGTCCGGGTCGAGAGTACACGTGTTGCAGATGGTACGTGGGGGTGGGGGAAGTAAGGGAGACGGAGCAAAGGGGCGCAGAGTGTAATAAGGTGAGGTGAAAATCGGAGAGAGAGAAAAAAGAGGAGCAGATTCCACGTATCCCCCGCGCGGAGCTTGAGAAAGAGAACTGGTGTACGCGTATGCCACCCTCTCCACCATACCGCCAGCTTACATCGGCAATAGTAGGGTAGTAGAGGAGCCGGTGTACCATACACCTCCCCCTTTCTCCCCTTTGCGAGGTATAGGCAACGCACAGCCAGCTGTCGTATCCTCTTTCTCTCTCGCCCACCCCATTCCGCAGCAGCACCATCGCCCCCCCCCCCTGCCCCTCTCGCCACCCACCAACATCGCACAAAGAGAGAGAGAGACGCAGCGCTTCCATTCCAGCATCCGTCCGAGTAACAGCGAGAGCAGAATCTGGTCCTCCCCTCCCTTTCCTCTCGGGAGCTATCTCGCGAGCCAGCGAAAGAGAAGTGGGGGTAGGGGGATGGGGAGATTGCGGCGCGCGTCGCTCCCCGTCATCTCCCCGCGGTGGAGGAGCATAGCCACCGTACTCTGGCCGCTGTAGCACCAGCAGCAGTAGTACTCGTCGTCGTGGTGGTGGTAGCAGCCGAGCCGCCACCGCAATTGTTACAAGTCCGCGGGTAGAGCGATCCTCGGCGCTCGTACGTTGTCTCTCCTCTCCAGGCACACTGGCATGCCACGACTCGACGCTCACGCACAGCCATTGGCAGGGCTCGCTTCGTTGAGCGACAGACCGTCCGATAGATCTTTGGAAAACAGAGACAAGTAGTAACGGTCGTGCTCTGGTCGGACGCAAGCGGCACCCCGTACACCCGCACCGACGAAACCGAGAGTACAGCCCAGAGATAGAGAGAGGGAGAGCAGTTCGTACACATAATACGCGTCTCTCGCGCGGGTTGTCATCATCGGTGAGCCCTCGTTCTCTCGGGTTTTGCGATTCTTATACACGTTGAAGCTCGATCGATTTGCGTCGACGGACGCGCGCCTGCCCTTCTCTCTCTCTCTCTCTCTCTCTCCTCTCCTTTATCCACCCTCCCCCTCCCCCCTTGTCCCTCGTTCATTTCTCTCGTCGCTCTCCGCCTGGGAGAGGATAGTTTACACGCAAGTTTGCGGGGTCGAGGGTTTCGCGAGTGCCGCGCGACATGGATGAGTGCGACTGTTTAATTCGGTGAGCCAGCGCGATTGGTGAAAAGTATCCGTGGACCCGCAGGATGGGAGCGACGTCGAGGCTGGCCGGTGGAGCTGCTCGTCCGGCTGTGTCGACGACAGCAGCAGCAGCAGCAGCAGCAGCAGCCCCGGGCCCGAGTGACAGACCGGGGATGATAATATAAATACAACACAACCGTGTGGTATATATAGCGATAATGCCAGCGTCGGCGGCTTCGGCTCCGGGAGCTGAAACGGCAGCTGTCGGCACGAGGCTAGCGTCGTTACGGCCGAGTGGCATCTCCTTTGTTGTCACCTGCGTCGGCTGGGCGTGCACGAAGGTGCGCTGAAAGGAGGCGGAGAGCCGGGGCCACGAGGTAGAGATGAAGAGCGCCTGATCCCGTCTTGTCCTCCCGTTTGTCGTTGTTGTTGGTAGCAACGACCAAAGAGAGGGGGCCCGCTCGCTCCGCGACTGTTGCTGCTCCCTCGGGGCGGGGGAGGGCCGAAACAGAGGCAGCCGCGCGGCGGCAAAGGTCGTTCTTCCTGAGCCAGAGCAGGGTAGAACATGAAAGGAGGCTGGACCCTCATGGCGGCTATCGCCCTGGCTGCGTCGGGTGAGTCGATCTTCACGCACACGCACAACCACGCGCTCGTATAAACGCTCCGCTCCTGCAGCTTACAGGGCACGTTAACCGTGCACGTACACCCATCAACTTGCTTATTTACTCGCGCGGTGGTGTGCGCGCGGGAGCGGAGCGCGTGTACGCACCGAGACACACGGACACGAGGTCATAATCGGGGAGAGCTTTGAAACGGGGAACGACGTTATAGCCAGTTATTTTTTTTTTTTTTTTATTTTTTTTATTTCGGAGGAAGGAACTAGCCCGCTGGGGGGAGGGACGGAGCGATCCAAGTATGTTTTCGGACGCTGTTCTCCCTCTGTTTTCGCTAGGGGGGGAGCAAAAGTTTTTCCAGCTGATGGATCGAGCCGCCAGAGGTGCAGGGAAGCATAGTCACCAGCGCGAGCTTTCTCACGACAAAGCCTTTTTTTTCCATCCCGGCTGACGGCAGTGCGTTCACGTGATTCCTACGATACTGATTACGGTAGTTGGTACGGGTCCACTTTTGCGAGTGTATGTCCGTAAAACACGTCGGGTCGCGGGTTTAGTCCAATTTTTCATTAAACGTGTATACTTTTCTTTTTTTTTTTGGTCACTATAACGACAAAGTTTTCTTTATTACCATCAATATACGTGCACGGTAAAGCGGTTGGTCGTTGGAATGAACAAAACGTGGGCCGGAAGTAAATTTGTCATCTTGTTTGCGACGTGTAATTGAAGTAAGCGATACAAACATCACAAGTGCGTGTCGGCGTTGCGATACAGCGACGACAAAGCCGACGCGAGACACCCATGTATCGTCCCCGTTTCAAAGTAAGAAAAATGACTCTCGTGTCCGACACGAGCACAGATTGACTTTTATACCCGCACAAATAAACTCAACATACGATCTCGTACACACACGCTCGTACGGATGATACATTGACTGGTGCACGCGCGTAAACGTCAACCGCGTCTGTATGTAAGTGGTACGTGTGACGTGTAAGGGAGACGGAAGGGATGGATGGGAAAAAAAAAGTTTGTTCCGAGGTCTGACGATCCATTTTGTTTGATTTTCGGGGAACTTGATCGGCGTAGGGGTTCGAGATGAAAAGGGTCTGTTGAGGTATACTTTGGGAGCCTTTTCGGGTAGGTGCACATTTGACTGCATTCATATATGCACGTGGCCCGTGGTGAAACATTTTTTACCACGGAAATTTCATTAATTAGGGTTGATGGTCTGTTTGTTGGGAATTCAGCCTCCCCCAACTTATGGAAATAATTTTTTTTTTCCGCTCCCATTTCCCCTCCTTTGAAACCTGCACCGATGATGCTTTTGCCTTTTTTGTTTTTCCTTTTTCGACGACAGTGCTTCCATCGGAATTATAAATGAAAAAAAGAAAAAAAAAAAAATGTTGGAACATCTTATGATAGAGTTTTGTATGATTAATTGATTGTAGCGTATTTTTTTTTTTTTCCGAAAAGCAATTTGGTATTGTGATAAATTGCGTAATGCAGTATAAATAATTATGCGAACAGCATTTCTCATAAATAATCAAAAGAGCCAAAAATATCTTTATTTATTACTTTGCAAAAGTTTTGTCCCAGTGTGCTGCTTTACACGTGTTGTCGAAAAATCATTGAAAGTTTTCTAAAAGTAACACGTGCATTCATCAAAATGCGCAGCTTATATTGTTCCCCGATAATCTCTCGAGTTTATAAATAAACCCGAACGTATTTCCAAAGTTACGAGAAAAAGTTGATAAATAATTACGTTGAGTAAAACAAACGTATAGGTATAAAAAATTCCGACTCCGATGCTACCGCAGCAACAAACGCGTCCGTGACTTGTTCAATTTTCCTTCCGACATTAATCACCACAGAATCGTCCCGACAAAATCTTTTCAAATTACGACCCCCCCAAACTTTTTGTCGGCTGCCCGATACTTACACCTCCACGCTCCTATCGCGAGAAGAGTCTCCTTTTATCAGTAGAAACAGTTACCAACAGTTCAGGAATATTGTAACACTCTGCTTCCTCGTCGCGACTTTATATTCCTCATATAACAGATTCAGGTAGGCCTGCACGCCATGAATCAACGTTTATCCGGGAAGACCTTAGCTCGAGTAAACAGCGAGTGTATGCGCGGGACAAGACTGTGCGACAACAACGCCGGCGAAGCCCAGTTCATCCGGTCGACAAACATCAAACATTGCCGGCTCAGCAGCGCGGGGAGGGAGATACCCCGTGTATATACAAACTCCGGTGTATCAAATTCGCTTGAGCAAATCATCATTGATCCCATGAAAAAAAAAAAAAAAAAAAAAAAGAAAGAAAATTGAGAACCACGTGAGGGTGTAACGGCACTCGTTTCTCCCGTGATCCTACTTGGGCTCTGTCGGTTACATGAAGAGCCTGCAGGCGTGCCTTGTTTCTCTACAAAAAGTGATATATATGACAGTCAGTGTGTAGCCATGGTATACACGACCTCATGCCCACCTCAATCGTGTGTACACGCGTGTACAAACAACAGCCAGAGCCTCGGGAGTATAGGCAGATGGAGGATATTGGTTTTCAAGCCACCCACAACTACCTCGATACCACTCTCTCTCTCTCTCTCTCTCTCTCTCTCTCTCTCTCTGTTTACCGACTTTTCTCGCGCTCCCCTCCCGCAGTCCTTGCCATTTATGCGCCCACCTCGCGCGACTTTCAGCATCCGATCGATTCATCCAACTTTTTTTTTTTTTTTTTTTTCCATCGAGCCAACGGAGTCTCGTCGCCGCGAAAAAACGAGCGTCAAGGATACGGAAAAAAAGAAAAACACGTACCGAGGCCTGAAAAAGTCTGTAGGAAAAAAAAACTGTAGACAAACTTTTCTTACGCAAGATCTCTTGTCTTCCACTCGAGGGAGGAACAATAGATTGCAATGAACGCCGTATTTTCCATCGTACGGGAAAAGAAAAACGTACTAGTTGGCTTGTTTGCTGTAAAAATTAGTTGAGCATTGAAAACTTTTGGTTGGGGCCGATAACCGATAGATTTGCCCGAGACTTGGGCAACTGAGTTTCCACCGGTTGGTCCAACTTTACGTTTTGTTTCATTTTATTTATTTTTTCCCCTCCGTGTATACTTCGAAGCGCCGAGTAATTAACCGGGGGAATTTTTTGTTAAATCGAAAACCGCTTTTGGCTCCGGCTCGGTTATACGCGTACCGTCCGTACCACTGAACTCCTTTTCCCTTTTCTTTTTTCCAGCCTGCCATGTCATGAAAAAAAAAAAAAAAAAACAACGTAACACATATTACATCCCCCAGAAAAAAAAGTGCCAGACATTCGCAAAGAGGGAAAGAGAGAGAAAAGGGGCTTCGTACCCGCTCGTCGAGCAAGTAAAAGCAGGGCGCAATTTAATGAATTAAGCACTCCCGGAGTCCAGCCGAAATCCACGGGCTCTCCGAAGGTACAATATGCAGAAGGTAAAAAGGGCGCGTGTACGTGTAGGCTCGGTAGGGACGTAACGAGGGAGGGGGCTGGAAGCAGCTTTCGCATCAACATTCGGTGCTTTACGCGCCGACACCTATACGCGTTCGCCGAAAATTCGTGGCGCCTATATACCTTCCCCCTCCCCCTGCAACACAGTCCGAGGTTGTACGGAGGTGGTGCGCGCACGTATTCCAGGCGCCGCCGCAGCGAGACTGCATTAAATTAGCCCGAGCTGGTACTACGCGTGGATTAGATACCCCCCTCCCCCGCGCACCCGCGTGGAAAACAAAGGCGCGTGGCCCGGGGAGATAAACTTTCGCCGGTGCATCTCTTTCTCCCGGGGGAGGCATATCCATACCCACCCCCTCTCTCGAGTACCGCGGCGCGCGAGCCGCGACAAATGAAAAGCAGCGAGGGCCTTTCGGGCAGCCCGGAGTCGTTGATCGGTCGAAACGGCCTTCCCACGCCCGCTCTCTTTTCCCCTCCCTCTCACGTGGGCCGTTTGCAGGCTTGTTTAAGAATTTCCCTCCGATTCGCTCGCCGGCACACCGGTGTCCGAAGCAAGATGTTTCTTTCCCCTTTATACATTAGAGCTCGAGTACACGTTGGTCATTGTACGCTTGGACCTCTTGCATGTAACTCTATTTTCGGGAGAGTCCGAATATTTTGTTTGCCAGTTTTTCACGGTTGAACGTGTTAGCTTTGGCTTCGCGATTAAACGACATTACGAATTGAATCTCCATCGGCCGACAGGGGATTTATCAATGATCGCGCTTTTGTTGCGGGACCCGCGTTATCCCCCACTGGCGTGAAAACTTGACGAACATTGATTTTCATTCGCTGCAATCGGGAGCTTTATCCCGAGTCAATCGAATTAACCGCGGTCCAATTGAAAATCGTAACAATCACTTTGAAAGCTTACGCCGAGCGTTTTTTGCCGGTGCATTACGACTACAGAAAAAGTATAGATTAGTGTTTGAATGATGATTCACGCGTGGCCAGTCAATCGCCATCTGTAGTACGAGTGCGTTACACGCGAAAATTCACATAAAACATGTACACCAACACTACCGATTTTACACGCATAAACATTTAGTTACGTAAGGTCACGAACGATGTACACCAGACAATGTGTATATCGAATAAGACATCACGAAAATTCACCCCTTCGTCCGATCATGTATTCGTGTATACCTAATGATAATGATTATTATGTATATTATTATGCGCTACACCAATCAATATTATGTGCTCGGCTTGTTTTAAACAAACAAGAGCTAAATATCACAAGATAAATAATGGATGATGAAAAATCGACGGATAACACTGATACAGAAACGGTTTTATGTATTAAAACCGACACACACACACACACACACACAAACACGTAAATATCACAGGCGTACAGAGGGACAAGATGATGCGTGTATGAACCATCGTGTATTTGTCTCTTTTTTTTTTGTGCGATGCACATGCATTGTGAACACGTGAGATACGCACTGTCAATGCAAACGAAGGGTGAAAAATTTAAAAGC